GTCAGCGGCTTGATTCTCGGAGGAGGTATATCGTACTTCTCGGGTCGTCGCGGTTGGGCGTGCGATAACGTGCGCAATTTCGAAGTCGTCACGGTCACAGGCGCGATTGTCAATGCGTCACCGGATTCGAACCAGGATCTTTACTGGGCTCTGCGCGGTGGTGGTGGATCGAACTTTGGCATTGTCACGCGGTTCGACCTGGTCAGCTTCGAACAGGGCGACCTGTGGGCTTCTTCTTTGGTGTACCCCGGCGCAATGAACCAGACACTCATACCGATCCTCCAAGACCTGATCGTCAATGGTTTACCAGCTGATCCCGGAGCGCATACGTACTTTGTCATGGCCTACGTCCCTACCTTTGGAGGCTTCATTGTGCTCAGTGATCAGTTCCATGATAACCCCGTGGATTCGGTGCCGGAGATTTTCAAACCGTTCCACGAGATCCCTGTGGTGCTGGCGAATAACACGAGGCATGCCAATGTCTCCCAGTTGAGCAGAGATATCGCCGGGGATAGTGGGCTCAGGCAGACGTGGGCGGCAACAAGCGTGTTAGCGACCTCTGCACAGCTTCTCCTGGATTTCGTCCCCTTGTACGAGGCACATGTTGCCAGGCTTCTTGCGGCGGCTGGGCAGTCGCTTGTCATCCCTTATTTCATCTACCAGCCGATTTCGGTCAACATCCTGCAGGCGATGCAGGTAAACGGTGGCAATGCACTGGGAATATCCCCGGAGGACGGACCGTTGGTCATCGTGCAGTTGTCGGTCAGCTGGGTAGATGCATCTCTTGATGATGTGGTGCTGTCCAGTCGTGATCGGCTGCTGGCTGAGGTCAATGCTCTAGCGGAGGAGCGAGGATTGAAAAAGGGATTTGTGTACATGAACTACGCCGGCGAGAACCAAGACGTGCAGGGCAGCTATGGACCAGCAAACGCTGCGAGGTTGAGGGAGATAGCCCAGAAATGGGATCCGAGGGGCAAGTTGAAGAATTTATGGAAGGGTTACTTTAAGGTTTGATGTGGGTAGGTTCCTCGCACAGATCGACTGATGAATAGGTAATGTTTATACCACCGAAAAATTAAAAGGGTCCTATGTTGTTGGCTGAAACCTATAGCTTGACCTGTTTCCAAGCCGCTCTGGATACCAGGCATTTGAAGAAGACGGCGTCGTGATAGCACCGCTGGCCAAGCCCAAAACTTCTTAAGATTGAGCCGAATATTTCTCCATCTTTTTCCACAGTCGATTATTCAGTCTTCACGCCCTTCCGGGCGTGCAACGATTCTTCCAATCACCCTTTTTGCAGGAGAATTACTCAGCACGCACCTATCCCCAATATGTGACGAATCCCGTAACCCAGACTTTCTCTGATAAGGGATCTCTTGAAGGTATGCTAGGTAAGGTGACTCGGTGCAGCCAAAGGGTGCACGACAATGGATTGTCTAGAAGATAGTCCTCACAAGGTAAGGCAAGGTGCAGTAGATTGTAGGGACTAAGTGTGTGATCCTATTGCTTGCTGGGGAGACTCGATCATCCAGATGCTCGACCCTCCCCAGGACTATATACTTATGAGAAATCCCCTTTACTCCAAGTACCCCGTACCTGGGCGACAGGCTCCTCCTGTCGCCCTGCTCCGGGCGACGAGAACTCTCGTCGGCCGTCCTGGCCGACAGTCCTTGGCATCGCCCGCCTGTCCGACCGTCCCTGGCGTCGCCCGCCTGGCCGATCGTCTCTGCCTGATTGGTCTGCGGTCCCTCGCAGTTGATTGGCCTGGGCCCTCTTTATCTGCACGGAGCCGCTGGTTGGTTACTCGTGACACCACCGAGAGAGATCCGTACGCACCGAGACCTCAGCCTTGTTCTGCAGGGCAGGGGATCCCGGAACCGATGGCTGCTGGAGAGGGTTTTGGGCTGGCTAATGGACTCAGGGCGCCTCTTGGAATATAAGCTAGCGAGAAGGCTGGAGCTGGGCACCGAAGAGGAAGAGGAAGAGGTGCATGCGGAGTAATTCTCTAGATATTAAGCAAAATCCGGTTCGCTCCCATAGTACTGTGTGTTCCAGGTTTGCCTGCCACCCAAAACCTCGTTATTTTTCAAGAACAAATGTCGTCTCTCCCCACCCGTACACTCTCTTGAGGCGATTGGCGAGAAACAGAAGCGGGTATCCCGCTAGCTCCGACTTGTGAGGGCGGTGCACCGTGACTGACCGTTTCACAGCTGGGTCGTCAGGCGGGGAGAAGGTGTACACCGGACCGAACTTAGGAATGACAGAGAACTTGAGCTCTGTCATGGCGGCTTCAAACGATGTCCAATCCAACGAGCCACGTGCCTCAGATCTCTGAAACAACCCCATAAAGACGTCAAGCGTGGATCTGCTGACCCTAAGAGGTTTTGCCGGAGGCGTTGCAGGCTCGATCGGTGACGGTGCATGTGGGATGATCTCGTAGATGGGAGAGGGAGTTGACCTGGTCTTCTCCTTTTGCTTGCGCTTTTCAACCTGCTCCACGGTGGGAAGAGATTCTATCGCCACTACCGAGAATGGAGTAGGTTCTGGTTTCTTCTCCAACTTCGCCTTGAGCTGCTTGTATTGGTTTTCGAGGTCCGCCAGGCAGGCAGTCAGAGATCAAGTCTTGATATAGGAATCCGAGCTTCGTGCCGGTCCTCTCGACAATGAACCCATTCAATTTTCTCAAAGCACTCTCGGCCATTCCTGGCTCAAGAAGATTGCCAAGTGGACTCGCAAAATCACTCAAGTCAACAAGGTCTGTGGGTTTATTCAACTCGGCTGCCAGGCCTTCGGACCGAGAAACAAACATCCGACCCTTTTTTCGAGACAGAGCAGGCATCGAGATAGTGGGCGAGAGGTCTCGTATAAAACTGGTGATGATTGCCAAATCGAATAAAAACTCCCAGTTGTGGTCTTCTTCGTCAAACATTTCTGTTTGCAGGTCACCAAGCTTCTTAAGCCAGTCAACTGCCTTGGCAGGAGTGGTTTCGAGTTGGCAAAGACGTAGGATATAAAGAAGTTCCGGATCCTGTACTGTGGGCTCCTCTGGATTACCCTTGATTGTGACGTGCGCGTTTCCCGACTTATCGTAATCGTTTGAAACCCGCTCAAACCACTTGGCTGCCGCGCAGTCCCCGGTCTGGAGCTGCCGCTTGAACAACTGCTGCGTGCGTGCGTACTCGAAGTGACAGACATTCGAGATCTCCTGCAGGAGGATGGGCTTGTAGACGTTGTCCTCAAATCTGGCTCCAAGGAGCTCGAGGAGCCTTCCCAGATAGCCCCACACAGCCGCGGCCTGAACAGAGTTATGCAATGCCTCGAATACGGTGCCGCTAATGTACTTGTCGGTGTAGGTGACTGGCAACCCACGGCCATGCTCATCAGCGACCAGTTCTGGTTGTGTGAAGTGAAACTGTCCAACAACATCGTGTAGCGCAGTCGGCTCAGTAGTGATGAGGCTTAAGCGCTCCTCAAGCGCTGCCTTTTGGTCGTGGACACTGTCGACGAGACCTGGGAAAGGCTGTTTCAGTCGGCGCTGTTTAACTGTGAGCTTGGAAATCGCATGCACAACTTCGGTACCAAGCTTTGTCGGTTTTGGTACGCTCTTCGCTCGCGTCGTGGATCCTAACCACAAAATATCGTCGACCATCATGATGAGAAGCCGGAGGAGGTAAATTTGTCTTTGAAGGATCAACTGGCCAGTGGATGCAGAAGCATAATTGCCGGCTCTGATGGCACGGTCTAAACTTTCCAGCTCCTCGGCTCGGATGCTGGATGCCTTAACTTCCCGACCATACTCAGCATCCGTGGAAAACAGGATATAAGACCCGTGGCGGTTGGCATTGGCGAAGCGGAGACCGCAGGTGTACATCTGTTTCCGGATATATTGATGATCGTCTAGTCTACCACCGAAACCATCAAGGTACTGTCGGGTTAGTGGGTTTGTAGCACGGAAATGCAGCATGTCGAGAGGAAAGTCGGAGTCTGGCTTGGTGATGTGACGCAGATTCCACTCCGGGGCAATAACGTGAGCCACTCCATTCCGAGAGTTGAAGGGGCGTCTGTCGACCGCCATGCAGTTCTCTCTCTGTTTCCGATCCATAGATCGCCAAATCCTCTCCACGGCGCCGGCAAGCCTTCTACACCTTTATACTAAAAATATTTTACCCCACAGGTATGACAGTCATCGCATGGCTTGATCCCATGATGTATTTTGCCATGTACGTGGCGTTGACTGTCCAACCGCTGCGCTAAGAACATATTATAGAGTTTTGAAGTTAGGGGGATGTATCCCACTGTAAGTGGAGAGAAGCTGTTGCTTCGATTTCTTTAAAGTTCAAGTCTTCTACACATTAAAAGACTTTCTCAAAATAAAAGGTTTCTAGCGAGTAAGGGAAGTAGGGTGGCGAGCGGAGAGTAGGGGCTTACCCAGGTGGTCGAATGAGATGGGTGCACAGTTTTCAACAGCATCGAGATACATGTGGAAAACAAGTAGGGAGTGTGCAGCATAATTTGGTGATGCAGACAGAGGTGATGACATGCGTATGGGACACGTTTACAGGCGGTCCAAGTCGTGGTGAACATCTTCTACTTACCGCATCCTCTGCAACTGAGAACCACACCGGGATACATGATCAGAAATCAGGCATGCGCGGTATTATCAACGTATATGGGTTACATTTGGTAGTTGTAAAGCGTCTACTCAAGAGCGGGAGTTGAGCATACAATGTGCATACACAGAGCTACGTACCTAGGTAAGTATACTTAGCAATGTAGGACCGGGGAGGCCGGGGATCTTATCAGTATGTCGTATGCAATCTGTACAAGTTAAGCTTAAATCTTAGGCAGTGTTGCTTTCTATCCCAATGTAGATATCTCAACGGTGATCACCAACCCCTGCCGAGCTGAGTTTGTCGACTTGTTTGGTACGGTGGAGCCACGCACATTCAACATCGCCATCCATGGATCCCATTTCCTCAAACAAGCCCAACTTGAACAAAGCCCGGTTAGCTCTCAGCTGGTTAAAGCGTTCTCGTACTAATATAGCCACGATAGCATCAAGTTATATCGAGTCATCATGCAAAGGTCAACAGTTCAATCCTGTTACTGGGCATCCCAATGACATCAGATGAAACGAGAGCCTTGGAGCTGTGCTCCTGCTCTCAGAGCTTCTCATTACGCTCCCCTCAGAGCTCGACTGGACCAGAGGCATCCAAACAGGTGCATCCACCTACCGCCTGACGTCACGCGTAACACCCCACTGCCAAGTAGCTCCATCGATGCCAAGGCACCCCGCAAGCCCCTCCCTCTTCAGAGCTTGATCGTGCCTTATATGATGCGTTGTCCCCTGCCCACCGGCCTGTGTTGAGTTTTGATTATAACTCATCCTTCAGGTCTCGATTGTTCTTCTTCCTTTTTTTTCTCTTTCTCTTTTTCTACGTAGCATTGTTATTGAATCAGCACAATGGCCTCCATTCTCGATACTCTTACCTCCGCCCGCGGGCCCGAGTCCGCGGGCTTCCTCAACGACATCGTCGCCCATCTCTGGCCCAACATCTGTGTGGCCGGAGGCAAGATGATCAAGGACATCGTGGAGCCCATGTTTGAGTCGATGCTCCCAGGTCCTTTGAAGTCGTTGCATTTCGAGAAGATCGACCTGGGTTTGATCCCCATGCGCTTTGACAATGTTGCTGTCACCAAGACCGATAACGGGGGTATCAAGCTGGATCTTGACCTCGACTGGAACGGCAATTGCGATATTGAGCTCAATGGCAACATGATTCCCAAGATTGGAGTCGAGCACGTCAAGCTGAGGGGCAGACTCAGTGTTCTGCTTTGCCCCTTGACCAACATCATCCCTCTGGTACTACTACCATGCCCCTCGACAGTGACTTTGTTACTAACATGTGATACCGGTAGATTGGAGCTGCCCAGGTGTCATTCATCGACCAGCCTTATCTGAAGCTGTCCTGGACAGATGGTGCTCATATTGCCAACCTCGGCATTATTGATTCTACCATTCGCAAGGTCATCCATACCATCATGGCCGGCAGTAAGTTGTAATCTCATACCCCTCCCAGGAAATTCGGCTAACCAACTGATCAGTGGTTGTTCTTCCCAACCGTTTCCTCGTCAAGCTCGACTCGACCAGCGACTGGTTCAAGACTTACCAACCACAGCTTGGCATGCTGAAGCTTACCATTCAGGGTGCAACCGATATGGGCGAGGAGCTCAAGTCCAAGAACATCTTCAAGAAGCTCATCCATGATGTTCCTGACTGCTACGCCAAGGTCAATCTCGGTGCGCAGGAGTTCAAGACCCAGACGGTCAAGAATAACCACCACCCCGAGTGGAACGAGACACAGGACTTCTGGGTGTCCGACACCGACCAAACTATCGAGGTCGACATCAAGGACGATGATACCGCTTCTGATGACGACATTGGCATCGCCACCACAACTGTCAAGGCGCTCCTTCTTGCGGGTGGACAACAGGAGCTAGGTCTTACTCACAAGGGCGAGGCAACCAACGGCAAGATCAAGATCTCTGCCAAGTTCTACCACCTCGTGGCAGATGCTTCCAGTTTCTCCTCACCAGAAGCGGGCGTGGTTGGTCAGCTGACGGTGCTGGTCGCCTCAGCCCTGAACATTGACGGCAAGCGGGAGCAGCTGAAGCCCAGCGTCAAGGTCACTTGGGGCGCCAACAGTTTCCGCACGCCGATCAAGCTTGACGCCCCTGGCCAGGATATTCAGAACCCTTCCTTCGATCAGGCGTATAGAGTGCCGATCCCATCTGGCACCGATATGGCTGGCAGTGGGCCAGTCAAGCTGACGCTCATGGATGGCGAGACAGAGAAGGGCTCTGTGGATGTGTCCCTTCAGACCGTCTTGGAGGCGCCGAACCTTACCCTGGAGCAGGAGTTTTCGCTGAACAGCGGTGCCAAGATCAGGGCTGCGCTCATTCTCAGGGGTATCAAGTTGTCGGCGTGAAGGGGTGGTTACCTTATGACTTTTTACTGATCAGCACCTATGAAGTAGCGCATAGAATGCATGATTTTGGCTTTGTCTATCCTGCTTTGGTGAATCTCTCTTGTGGTGACATGTGATTGAGTATCTCTTCTTTCTTTCTGTCTCTCTCTGTGAATCAATTTGGTGATCTGAACAATCCACAACGCCTGAGTCAAGCAGATCAGCTGCGCCCCATAGAATGGGGTATAAAGGGTCCTATACCAAGGTCCACCCAGGTTGAACCTTGTTCACGGATGGATATACATCGCTGAGACACAAACTAACAAAGTGAACAAAATTTTTTTTTTTGATGATTCGAACCATCATCTAAAGCAAAAGATGAATAAATAGACCTTGCCCAATAACAGGATTGAACTGTTGACCTTCGCATGGACTTGATATCAAAGTGAGATGATATTAGTACGACGCTCTAACCAGCTGAGCTAATCGGGCTCTGATTATTGAATGATAGTACAAGTCACAAACAGAGCTTTTATGTGAAGCTATTGACATTTTCTTTCTGCCCGAAGTATCAGGTTCACCTGACTTTCTTTCTTTTCGCGAGAAATTGATTCTTGCAGCGTTTGAGACAGTAAAATCCCAGTACGATTTTACTCAAAAACCGGCATTTGTAGTTCTGGGTGGATACATTGCCCAGTCCTGGCAACTACTTCTTAGAGCTTGGTGTTGGCCATATCCCACAATAGCAAAGTTATCTGCGTCTGTGAAAAGCACGTTTAAGGTCCTTACTTCAAATATGCTCCTTGAAACCTGAGTATTCAGAAAATAAATGAGCATAGCTTGTGCTCACCATCTTGGGAAAACGCCACGGTTCGGCAGTATGAACACGCCACCGACCCGAGGAGGGCTGGCATGTCATATATGTGTTGAATGCTGATATTGGCATCATGGATATTGAGCCACTCTGCAGTGTGGTAGATCAACACAGGACGCTTGTGCAAGTGCAGTAGCGACGAAACCGAGGTTACCGGCAACCAGGAGCAGGAACCGAAGAATGACGGTGACAACGACATCATAACACCTCCCTCTTCCGTATGACAGGAATCAGGAAGTAACAATGCTAACAAAAGTCTCCCATGCCAAATAACGATTCTAAGCTTTTTTCCAATCTCCATCTCATCCCCATTCTTTTACATGCCTTGGACAGCATTCTTGACAAAGCAGTTGTTTGAGCATTGAACTTTCTCGGCCTCACCGATAAACGCCTATCGTTATCTACAGTATCGAATACATTCGACCCATTTACTCACACATTGCCCAAGATGAGTCCACCTGCTGACGACTCTCCAAAGCCCTCTTCCTCTCCATCTTCTTCTCGCCTCCGCCTCAACCCCGCGGCGCAATCATTCCAACCACCTCAATTAACTTTGCAACCGCTACAGGCTCCCTCTGGACAAGCACAACAAGCACCACCACATCCAGCGGCCTTCAGTGTAGCTCCAAGCACTTCGGGGCCACCCATTTATCCCAATTACCAGGGACCTTTCTATCGTTCGCCTTATCCCGTCTACCAAAACCCTTTCTACCATCCAGCGTACCCCAGCTACCAGAACCCTCTGTTCACTTCACCCCATCCCAACACGGGATTTTCACACACTCCATTCGGTAGCTATCCAGTCGCTCCGGGCGCCTTGTTACCAGCGTCTGGTCAAGCCCAGCCTGGGTTTCATTACCCACATCAAGCTTCTGGGTACCACTCTTCGCAAGCAGTTGGGCACCAGCAGCCACAGCCGAAGACAGAGCTTGACCCAGTCAAACAGCGTTCCCAGCACGGTTCCTCGTCCTTTCCAATCGCTCCAAGTGCTTCTGAGTCCCATCACAGCCAAAAGAAATTGGAGCCTTCAGGATTTGGGGCTGTAGCGGATGACGAAAACGTCTACGACGATAATCACAACGAAGGCCGCCCTGGCATTGACGGCATTGATACTCAGAAAGACGACGTTTCTCTGTCACAACAACGTTCTGCACATCCCCAGAAGGGTCAGGGTCTCCAGAAGAATCGGGATTCCCGGATAACCTCCTCTGATGACGAAGACAAGCCACTACGAATATCTCGCTCTACTTCTCGCGCTATGACCGTAGCCTTTGGATCTTTCAAACAACTGGAAAAAGCCATGGCGGAGAGGATGACACCCCACCAGCTCGCCAGTCAGCTGATGATGGCGATCGTGGACGCGAGAACTCGCTTCAAAAACCTCAGCACGGACATCCAAGCCCGCAACATTGACCTTTACGAGGATATCATAGCGATCGGAGACGACTTGTGCACCATCTGCCAGGAGTTTGAGAAAAAGAAGGCGAAGGCAGCGAAGACCCGCAAAGGCAGAGATGAGTCGGAGAAGAAAGAGTCCATATCCTCTCACGTGCTCAACAACCTTGCAACGGCGCACAAAGACGCTGTTCTCGGAATCATGCAAGATCTTGATGAACTGTATCAGTTGATGATACCTTCCTTGGCCAAAGTCCCGTACCCCGGGGACGAGGAGGCTAAACGGTACTGTTTTGTTCCCCCCTATTTGTCCTTATTTTCCTCTCAACACCAAGAAGTACTTTTCACTAACATGAATTTTTTACCGAAACAAAATAGACACCCAACCCAGAAGGTCAAGGAGCAAGATATTCACCTTGAGAGCTCCGCTAGCCCCGATCACAACGACGATACCGAGGCAGATCCCTCCCAGTGGACGAAGCCAGGCGCTGCTCAGTGCAACACCGACCAGATCAAAGGCTCACAGCCCACCACCGCAGCTCTCATCAATGCACAGTTGGAAGCTGTGAAGAGCATGAGTGGCGTCAAGAGCAAGAACAAGCAGGCGGATTTGGAGAAGAATCAGTCTGCGCGGAGCCGTCCCCAGAAGCCTGCCTCGGGGGCAAACACAGCCTCGGCTTCACCACCTGTCATAGGATCTTCCGAGCCGTCGGAGTCGAGCAACAAAAAACACAATACGCGTTCCAATCAGCGCAACAAGCGACCTCAGGATAGGGACCCGATGCTGCAGCTGACGGATGAACCGTCCAAGAAGAAGGGTGGTGCTTCCTCCAAGAGCAGCAGGGGCAAGGGTGCCTAAGGCAACAAACAGACTTG